AGACGGGGCAGGAGCTCAGCTTCTACTTCTCCCCGAAATTGCCAGCGGTAACGCAAACATACTTTTTTTCCTCCCCACGACACCAAGAACAACGGCAGAATAGTTTCTGGTATTACAGTGCTTTGGCGATTTACAGATCCCTTGCAAAAAAAAGGCTATTTGCTCAAAAAAAAAAGTTTATTTATACATCTCTATATATTTTAAGGAAAATATGTTTTTACCAAAATACGATATACAGGCACATGGCTGTAAAATAAACCAATTCACTATAAAATTACTTTTGGTAGTAAATAATCTGATTCTCGGAGAGGCAAATGCTCCTTTCCCCTCTGCAGATGGGCGGGCTGAGGCACAGTTCCTCCCCGCGCTCCCTCCCTCTCCCACCTGCCTTCCCCTTATCCTCCTCACTGAGCCTTGCCCAGGGCAGAAGCAACTTGGGCTTTTTAGGCTGCATGAGGTGGAATCCTGCTCCCAAGGAGTCACTTACAAGGGAGAAGTGAGAATAAACACGTGCCAAAGGAAATCCGCGAAGTCAATGGGGCAGATACTCACAACAGGTTTTTCTTCTTGAAGGAACAGCTGCTGTTCCTGGCTCTGGTACGGTCTGCACTGCGCAGGGGGCTCCTCTGGGCCAGCAAGTTGCACTGAAGTCTGCTCCCCACGTGAATGAAACCAGGATCTTTAAGAGCAAAACATCTACGCGTGCATCTGGGCAGCTGGCACTTATTAATATGAGTCAATTGGAATTCAGAGACACTCCTTAATCCCCCAAAAGATCTGTCAGATTCAGAAATCCTGAACTAAACCTCCGCTGTCTTGGCAGAGTAATGGTTTGGGGTGGGGGGAAGTGCCTTACTTTCATTCCTAAATATAAAGCAGATACGTGTGTTCCTCCCCTGCTTTCTATGTGGACGTCCAGATCTTTGAAGCCCTTGCAGTACCTTTGGTCACAGAAACAGTATTGCTCTAAAAGTCAAAGATACTAAAAATGTAAGAGAGCCACCTCAGGAACGTATCATCTTGCTCTGGAGATCTCTGCCTGCGTCCTCTGTGCCAGCATCCCTCACGCGGAGCCTGGCTGCAGCGAGCCTAACGGTACTGGTTGCACAGAGCAGCCTGCAGTGCTGGGTATGAGGGTTTTCCCCTTGTTTCTAAGTGCTGTTACTGCCTGCGGAGCTGCCTCCTCCCAGGAGCAGCAGCCACCACAGATCAGGTGCCAAAACTAAGCCGCCACGTCCCGTGGAACAGGCAGGACTGGAGGAGGGCTCTGCCACTGCTGCCACCGGTGGTCTGCAGTCAGAACAGTCACTGAGGAATCGAACACAGGTAAAGCTTTTACAAAAGAAGCCTCAAGACAGAAAAGCTGTTCAGACAGATTCCAAGCTTTTGAGCTTTCAGGAGAAAGCAGACTTGAAGCACAGCATGGAGTTACAGCACGGGGCAGGGGAGGTGCTTCCCCACAGCACGCCAGGGATGAGTCTTGGAGCGGCACTTTCACCCCGTCCTTAGAGGAGAAGCCTGACCAGAGCTACTGAAGTTGTAGCTTTGGAAGAGGATTATTTGAAGCCTGATTTCCTGTATCCCCCATCTATTTCCTATGCTCCTTAAAGGACACCTCTGCCCATCTCCCTGGGGAACAGTCTTGAGGTGTTCAGTAAGTCTTGACTCGACAGCACCATTTTTATGAACCACCCAAACAAACCGTCCCGAAACTTCTCAAGAAAGCGCTCCGGGGAGCGAGTCCCGCTTGCACAGCAGGCAGTGCTCCGTGCAGCTCGTGCACGAAGCAAAATGACCCGTCCCATCCTGAGAATAATGAAAAACCAGAGCACTGAAGACTCATAGTCCTGGACTCCCCTCTCGTTGTTATTTTGGGAAGCCAAAGGGGAAAACACCAGAGGCAAGGGCAGTAACTGGCTAGATGTTCTGAACCTGGTCTGAACAGGAGCACGCACAAAAGGCGGCTGCTGCGGGAGCAGGCTTCATTTGAACGTATCCCATGCAGGCAGCAGGGAGCCAGGCAGCAGCAGTCCAGTAAGGCCAGTCAGTCCAGTTCACATTCTCCTCTCCATGTGTTACCTATTTACCCCTTGAATTCGGGATTGCCTGGTGGCGGCAAGTCTTCTCCGCTAACGTGAGCAATAAAGATACATGGAGCAAGGGAGAGCGAGACAAGAGGGAAGGCATTAGGCCTGAGAAGAAAAGGATTCATTCTCTTCTCACTTAAAAATGGTTCAGTCTTTGATTTGCTTCCACAGAGAACTGCTAGATACATAAACCAGATTTTTTTCAGTACATACAAGGATACATCGAGAAGGTGCCTACGACCATAGCACACAGCACACAGCAGCACAAGTTTAGAATGACTTAGTAAGTTCAAACAAGACAAGCTTTGACTTGGAGGGGGAAATACCAATATTTTGATCTTCAGTTGCTTTGGGTGAGAAGGGAGGATACTCATCGTAGCTACAGCTAGAGCAGACAGAGGGTATCAGCCTTTTGCTTACAAAGAACAATTTCGTACCCCTCCTGACGCAACAGCAGTGAAATCTTTATCGTTTCAATCTTTAGCCCTGCCCGCAGCGTGCCTCCTGAACAGAAGGTCAGTAGGCGAGAGAGGGAGGGGCCTCAAGAGTGAATTTTTGACTTGGACAGTCATTGCTGTTAAGTTTAGCTTCTGAACTAATTTTCAAGGCCTTATGTTCCCCTCTGACATTCTGGCTGCTTCAGGGTTTTTTTTGCTTTGTTTTGTTTTTCAAAAAGCGCCTTCTCCCCTGATTAGATCTGCCTTGGTAACGGGCAAACAGAGCCTCTTCTTCGGGCTGCAGAGTGGATTAGAAGCCTCTCGGATCACAAGCAAGGACTCCTCCCTTCAGCCCAGCGAAAACGAAGACGGGGTCCCTGAGGCTGTCCCAGGCAGTTAACAAGCAACGCCCCACAGAGGTTCACCAGCCCCCACTGATGGAACCATCATCACCCCTGTGCTCAGAAATAGCTTACTCTTTTCCAGCTACATGGAACCAACATGAGAAGAGCTTCATCAAAGCAAAAGCTAAAGCAAATCAAAAGCATTTGGTTGGAAGGCAGTGAGTTGGGGAAAACTAAATTCCCCTTTTCCACGCCAGTTGAACACTGCTGGTGGAGGGACAGCAGGCAGGGCAACAGATAACCCAGCTCTCGCTGCTGCATTAAAGGCTTTCTGTATCTTTAGCTTCTACACACAACCCCAGGTTTTAATAACTGGGGACCAGGAAGAAAGGCAGATCATCAGCTTCACAGTTAAGAATATATGAATCTTATCAGTGTAATACAGACAGGAGTACTCATTCCCCTGGCTAGCTAAGGCCTCCTGTACCTGAAATCCGTTCTGAATTACTTCAAGGTCCAAGTGTACGTCCCTGGAAACAGCAAAATACAATGGCAGAGGAGCCATAACCTTTACTACAACCACAAATGATCTGCAACACCTTGTGGAACGCACCCAAGATGGCGTATGTGTGTATATATAAATTTTGTATCTAGACATTGGACTGTTTCATTCTTTTTAATACATATACAAGTACCTATACAAATATACATATTTACAATTTACACCAGCCAGTAGATGTATGTGTATTGTACATATACACACAAACGCCTAGAATACACATGCACACACACAAACACACACTCTGTAAAATAAACTCCACGTCCCAGGTAACAAAGTCCTGCCAGAGTCCAAAGAAGAGCAGCACCAAGTGGTGGGGGCTCAATACACCAGCTTCAAGACTGCTTAGAACAAACACTAGCATTCACAAAATTTTTTACACTTGGGAAATTAAAGGCTGGATGGCATAAGCTTCAGCCCAGCTACAAAGAACTTTCATGCAAACCTCCCAGCTAGACTCCAGCAATTCCTGAACCCTAGTGTGCTCTCCTCGGCTGATGGGGTCCACCAGTGCTGCCCTGCTGCCCTTCGCTGTTCGGCTGACTAGATCACACCCTGTGACTGCACTGCAAACAGGCCTACCAGGGTAGTCACCAAGTTCTGCAGGGTTTTTTCACCTAAAAATAGAGGAATGGCTGGGGTTCAACATAAAAGCACTGATCAGACTTGTCCTTCCACTTCTTTTCTAGCAGCCCATGCAACAGTGACAATGGACTTTTTCATTTCATAGTTTCAAATATTTTTGTTTCCTTCTCCTTGCTCACACCTTCACTGCCAGGAGCTGGAGGAGGTCTGCAAGGAAGGCAGCACAGTCCAAAGGAGTCAGCAAGGACTTCTCCCAGCAGTCAGAAGAGCCTTCTCCAGCAGGTGCCTTTACAAAGGCCACTGTACTCCCCACCACACCCAGACTGAGCATGACGGGCTGAGGGAGCCTGCAGCGCTGCCACACATCACTACAGCCCCTCAGTTTTACTGGTTCAAAGACAGGACCACGGTGCAACGGTGGGCATGCAAAACATTGACAGGGCTGTCTGGCAGCACCCCCGGTGTTTAACCTGCGAGAGGAGCATCAGCACCTCCCCTAGGACACAGGGGTCCAGCCCAGATGGGGCAGACAAATGAGCGGTAGGAAGGAAGGGCTCATATTCAGCACTATACGGGATGTTCTTTCAGCTCCTGCAAGGGACTGGGAACACTGGGAGCCACACATTCCATCCACACACGGGAAGGAGGGGTAACACCTGCTGGAAATGGAAGAATTTCTGTCTAGTACCTCAAAAAGAAGAATGCCCCTTCCTCCCTGGACCACTGTGGCAGCAATACAAATGGCAAGATGACCCATATTACAGCGAGAGGTGGGGGCCAGCTTTCGCGGTTTTGTCATCTGTTCACCTGCTACCCGTCTGCCCCGTCAGGCAGAGTGGGAACGGTGTCCTTGGCCAGCAGTGCAAAGTTCGCATATAAAATTGCCGTGCCAAATTTATAGGGAGCATTAAGTATCTTTACAACTTCACTTGAAACCCACTGCTCCGAAAGCAACTTAATGGTCCACAGTTTTGTCTACTTACTTGCCTAAGACTGAAAAAATATATTTGTTATGAAGGACTCTGTTTTATTGCTATTGTTGGTTTGCACTGTGTGGTTCCATCTTTACCATTTCAAATCCAGACTCTTTGGGGATAAAATATTGGTTTTTCTATTGATTTTTTTTTTCCAATTTCTTAAAATTGTATAAAAATAAAGGATTTCCACAAATGTGGGCTAAAGGTAACCAATAATACTTCTCTGCTTAGGATCAGCTGTTGGAAATGTGGTTGATAGCCACAAGACCAGAAATAAACCTCTAGTCATTCTTTAGTTTAACATTTAAAAGACGTGAAAACTTCTGCTTATAAAATTGACCCCATACAGAATGGAACAGCTAAACTAACAGCTGTTTATTATTACTTTTTAAAATAATGGTCCTAAATTTAAAAATAAAATCAAGTACTTCCTTTTATGATTTTCACATTATAAAACTGCACCATTCAAAATCTGTGGCCAGGGAAACCCCCTTGCAGTAAGACAGTTTCTTTTAATAGTCATCGAGGGTGTTTTCCAGGAAAACATTCCTAACATCCAGTATGGAAGCCAGCTCCAAAATGTGCTTTTGGAGGTGAGGGTTCTCCACCGTTTCATCTCTTGGCAGCTGAGGATAAGATTCTGGATAATTTCGAGTCTCCTGCTAGATGACAGTGAAAACAAAGAGAATCAGACATTCATGTATTTTTACACCCTTTATGAAGAAGATTGCAAAAGGCCAATTTCACCTAAGAGGCACCTGCTTCGTTTCCCCCATATCAGAGCAGCCTAGGTAGCTAACGTAGGCTTGGAAAGCTACTGGATGCCTGCACCCAGACCAGAGGAACACGGTACCTTTCCGTGCTTCAACTTCCCTTTTTGTCTGCAGCCTTTGAAATGGAGCAGGCAGTTTATACGCCAACACTCACATATATAAAATGGTGTAGACCCAGGAGCAGACTTTGCTGTTGGCACAGCATTAACCAACAGGGAGGGAAAATACCATCTTCCTGTTTAGCTTATGCATTTACACTTCAAAGACCTTTCCAAATCCATTCACACTAGGATACATTCCAGCAATAACATTCCACTCCTCCCCGCTTCCTCTTATATTCTTGTTCTACACCTTTTTAGTTGTGTAGAAATAATCATCTTGAATTATTGAGGAATTTCACTAGCAGACAACGCTGTTCAGAGTGACATAAGTGGAACAGAGTGTGTCTGCTACTTGTGTAGAGGAGTAAGGCTTCAGTAAGTCAAAGGCTTCAAGCCTTTGGAGCGATACAAAGGCACAGATGCAATGCAAGCTGTAGGCATGAGCATGTGAGCATCAGTTATCTTTCTGAAGTCACAGCGATCTGCTTAGCCCTAAGCCCCTTCCATCCTGAGGCAGTGCAGTTCTACATGCACTGGACTGTCATTCTCACAAACGGACAGACATCCCTGCGTACCCGGAAAATTTTGTGCATCCTCATGGTAGCCGAACAGAAGATAAATCTTGTTAGAAGCAAGCGAAGAAATTCATCCCCAAAAAACTGAAGAAAGGACTGATCTGTAGAGAAAGCAAAAACCCCTCAGTTTAGAAAGGCTTGGGGGAGGGGGGGCGGGGAGAGATATGGGGGAAACCACTACAAATTCTTCCGCATTCCCCTTACTCACTATTCTGTCCCTTGGAAAGGCCGAGCAAGGAAAAGCAGCAGCCGCTCAAGCTGCAGGCTGAGGTTCAGCGCACGGCTGGGCACGTACCTATGGATCGGGAGTGGGTCAGCAGCTGGGCTATGTCGCGGTTGATCTTCCTAAGGTAATCTTGGCACTTCTCCCACAATCCTCTGCGCATGCTTGATAATCCAGAGACAAATAGGAATGCCATTAAAGGGTTGTTCAGAAAGGATGTGAAGAGGGTACCCCGCTGAGACTGGTCTAAAAATAAAAATAAACAAACACAATCAATAGACAGAGATCCGTTGGGCAGATGAAACAGAAAAGCTGTCCCTGCCGCAGGGGGAAGTCGCCACCCACTGAACCCTGTAACAGAGGAACTACTCCCTTGTGTTAGTTACACCTTCTCTCCGTTCGTGGCAGGTCTGTTTTGGTGCATTTTGGGTTTTTTCCAGGGCCCGGGCAGGCAGCGTGCATGGGATAATGCCGTACCAACACAGGGGCTCAGCTAAGGATCTCTGCACGTGCTGTAGTGCACAGCGTGGAACCCCCTCAGATCTACAGCAAGGCTCTCCTGACTGGTCCATGAACACAATACAAGCATCCAGTATTTTAGTTAGTTCTGGTTTCCGGAGTTTCTGTTTAAACAGGATACATTCTTACAGTACTTACTTTCTACTTAAGTTTCAGCTAAAAACCAGGAATAGTTTCAAAACAAATGAGAAGCTTCCACTTCTTGCACATTCTGTCGTGCTGCTTGCCTAACATCACTCTACCGGGCTTAAGCGAGACCTTTGTACTTGTCTTTGTGATGGATAAACCTTAACGTGGCAAATTCCAAGGAGAAAGTCTGGAATGATTTGTATCTTGAAGTAGTCACAAGCACTGAAGAATGTGACGTTTCATTGCCTGTTCCTACGATAAACACACCTTCTCAGGGCATATAAAACCAATGGTTTTCCTTAACTTACCTTCCAAAATCAGAACAAGATCTGAGAAGATTTTGCTCTACACCTGGCATTGAAAAGCTGACACCTTAACTGACTCTGCTCACCTTCTGGGACTAATAAAGCTACCCAAAGTGTCAACAATCATCACCAGTCATCATCCCAGCACTGGGCAGGTAATTTTCTGAGTCTCTGTGTAGGAGAGACTTTGCCTCCTAGCACTTGTGAAGCTAGCACCATTGTTAGAACAGATTACTTGCCATAAACAGTAACTGAACTTTATCATATTACTTCAGGGAACGTTAATCTGATTTAGGGATTACATGGTGATGAAAAGCTGTGTCTTCCTGAAGAATCTAAGTTGTTTGGGGTCAACATGATGCAACTGCAACTTGTTAGGAAACACAATACTACACATACCTTGTAATGCCTTTGGATATGCTGTTGGAGAAAGCAAGCACACCAATGGTTGTCCAAATAAGTTCGTGAAATTCTGTAACAGATAAAAATTTTGAAGTATTGATGGTCACTTTGCTTGCTTTTGAATATTCAGCAGGTTAAGGGTACAAACAAAGATTAATGACAGAGAACACACTAACGCCCGTCACACAGTTCAGCACTGGCAGTAAGGCTGACAAGTTGACTTATAGACCACAGCACAGAAGGAATATACCCCATTACATTTTAAAAGAATTTTCATTCTCTCCTTTGACTGCTACTGATAGCAGACACTAGTTTCACAGAAATATGTCTTTCAGTAGTAACATGTTACTTGGAAAAAAAAATAAAAAATGTTCTGCAGTAGAAGTGAAAGCCATTGGCTTTCAGGCCAAAACAGATCTAGCATCTTTCCTCAGCACCAACTGAACTATCCAGTCAAAGTAATTTCTTTCTCCTTTTCTTTCTAGCAGGAGGAACTATGTCTGATGAAACAGAAGAGACCAGTGAAGAAAAGTTTTAAGTAACTTTCCTTTAAAGCAAGTATGTCATAACCTTAACATCTGCTCTACTGAAGCCTCAATTTTACCATAGTCATTTCATGCACCTTCCTCCAGCGCCATAAATATTACCTAAGCGTCCTGTTGCACAAGAATTTCTCCAGAACCCTGAAACGACACCATTGTCCAGTTTCACCAACATTTACCTGATAACAGTCCTACTGTCCATCTGTCTGGTAGGTATGCTGACTGGCAATAATTATCACCAAGAAAAGGAAATTGATTTACACAACTTCATTAGTTGTCATATGTCTCACCAGAACAGCTCTCTTAAAACTGAAGGTGTGCAAAGCCATAGAAAATATAAACGATCACGCCTGCATCCTATCAGAGCACACATTCAAACCACGCATCCAGAGCACATGAGTGCCACACATACATCTGCAGATTATGTTCTTAAAATTGGCAGGTTATGGACATACGGTATACATCACCAGAAGTATTTGCTTGTGTAGAATCATCAAAAAGCTAATTTTTTAATTCCTTCTGGTTTCTGCTTAATTCAATTGGAACTTTCCCTTTGGAGCAGTATATTTCAATTAAATTAGTTTCACTGAAATAATTTAATATAAGTCTGCTACAGACAGTAATCTAGTCTAATCAAAATAAAACATTTCCCATATCTGACAAGAGTGCTGACTAGTCCTAAAAAACCTTCTATTTCATCAACAGCCTAAGGGAGATTTATATGCTAGATACTGAGGTTTGGTCTCTAATGAAGAAACAAAGACTATTACCATGAAGACAGTAACTGCAGGCCAACGCAGTAATTAGTAAGACTACTACAAAGCAGCACTCAAACCTCCAGAAGGAATCGCCCCAGACCTTGCCAGTTTGAACCGAATACACGGCGGCAGGTTACACGTTCCCACTAACGCGTGTGCTTAGCTTTCACGAGTGACGCACGTGCTTAATTCTATCCTGTATCACCCCGTTAGAGACCAAAGCTGACTTTCCATACTCTCCATCAGTAAAAACAACAATGCAATTAAACCCTGCCTACAGCTACAAAGCAAAACCAAGGGTCACTCGTGTACCTCTGAACGGCACCACTCACTGACAGTATCCGAGATCACGTTGGACTCTGTCCCAGCAGAGGTTAAGTCAACATGGCCAGGAAGTCCTGCAACGGGGAGAAGCTACACGGTTTAGCACAGACTGCACTCTTCGGAAGACGTCTGCTCATGCCAGTCGCTCCATCTAAACTGTAGCTTCAGGAGGAGAAGACTCTCAAGCTTCCAGGCACCTGTCTCCTCTCCTGCCCAGACAGCTGCCTACCACAGCCCAAGCGAACACCAGGATTCACTCACCACCGCCTCCGCTCCTGATCTGCACAGAAAAGCGCTGCAGACATCCATGCAACACAGGACAGGAGCACCTTACAGCCGTGGCTCGGAGCGGAGGACCCACGGTGCCCCAGGAAGACCTGCCCTGCAGTCTAGATGTTGGTCGCAGCTCTGGATGAGGAGTGCCCTACCTTTCAGTGCACGGACAACCCAAAAAGGGTAAAACCCATTTTTGTTTCAAAATTGACTCTGGTTTTTCACTTATTCCAGGTTTCCAACAGAAGCATTACTGCTTTTTAAGATGCGTGTACTATACATCTCTCTCCAAAAAGAACCACCCAACACCTCCAAAGAAGTCACTTCACATGCAAGCTTTACTAAGCTGAGTATTGACCCCACATCACTACCAAAGGCCTTGCATCCTTACTGGCTGGAGTTTTTGTTTTGCTTTGGTTTTTTTAAGGCTTTGCATTTGACCATAATCCTAGACAACCACAGCTACAAGAAGATACTGATTTAAAAATATTATTGCATCCACATCCACTGTGGTAACCTTCAAGAACACAGCCATCTATATTTACATGGAAGTGTTAAAAAAAAAAAAATTCACGGCTTTAAGTAGATATGCTTGATTTGCAGTTATCTTCCACTTTCAGCTAAATATATAGAGGAGGAAGCTGTTCAAGTGCCACTGATTTGACAAACTGGCAAGTTGCTTCCTGGCAGGACTTACTTTCAGTCATCACCATTTAAGCCCTCCAGAGAGAGGGAGAGGATGAGAATGCATGCAGGGGAGCAGAAACGGGCTGCAGAAAAAGATGTGTGAGCAGTCGCTGTTACTGCCAGCACTGCCAGCACTGACATTTAAATGTCAGGAGAGCTGCTGTCCTACCAGCGAAGATCAGAGCCGCTATGTGGAAAAAAGTCAGTGCGCAACTTCTCACACAGCTGCACAGAACCTCTTTGTTTGTGCCAGTGCTTGAGCCTACAGAGCACCTCGCAACACCCCCAGAGGACAGCCGCAGGACACCACACTATCGGTGTATTCTGGCGACAAGCACGCAAGCATGCACAGAATGACGACAGACAGGAATTTACAAGAGCTAGAAAATCTTGAGATCGAGAGCTCTGCTGTTTACTTTCAGCTGAAAACAAAACACCTAAACCCCTCCGCACACATCTAGCTGCCTAGGTTCAACAGCAAGAGATTGTGAAGGTGAGTGTGAGCTCTCAAATGCTGAACAGATTTTTTTAAATAGGGGTCCGTACTCTTCCCCCTGCCCCCTTCATTCTCTTTTTAGGTTCCTCAGAATTGTGCCCACATGATTCTGATCTGGGTCAGAGCTCCTAGCAGCCACTTCCATAATCCTGTCCTGAAACACTTCCAAAACTCACATTTCTATACTCCTTACATACAGGCAGAGTTGTACTTCTCTCACACCAGCTGCTCTGCGTGCTTAACAGAGCACTGGCATATTTTACACTACTGATGGTCATTCACTGCAGAACAAGGAAAAGAAACTAAATGGAGCTTGCAGTTTTTGCTTACTGCGTGCCCACAAAATCTAAAGAACATTCAATTATCAAATGTACATGTAATACAAAAAGCAAATTCTACTGTAAACACTTGACAGTTATTCTCACAACAGCTACAGATCTACATGTGGGAAACCATCACCTCAGAGAGATCCTTTGCTCTAAGCTGTCCACAGAACCCTGGTATGTCCACAGCTGTATTTGAATTGAGGGTCACCAGGAAATCGCTTACTGCATCGTTACTATGCAACGTACAGAGCCGATCCACTTGACATCTTTCAGCAATTCTACTAGAGAGGAAGGGGGTGAAAAAAACCAAACCACACCAAAAACCAAACCCAAGACACTTTTTGCCCCCGAAACAAAACCAAGCCCCCCTGTTGTTACACTGGAATGAATGTCAGGAAAGAGCAGAGGAAAATAAATCCCTACCAAATCCTCATTTTCTCAGAAAGACAAACAAATCATTCTAATTGTGTTTCCCTGCCTTCCAATGGGGAAGAGAATTTAATAAAAGGCAGATTTGCACTGAAATCTAGTGTGGTGAAGTTAAATACAGTAGTATTTAAAAACTCCTTTGAAAGATACAACAATACAACCAACCACAAACCCTACAGAGAGGCCAGACGATGACTAAGACTGTCAGGTAAAATTCCCTGGCTCCCAGAACTATTCCGAGTCCTACTGATCACTGATTCAGCACCTCTGGCGGGCCCACAAATGCCTTTAAAACAAATGCCACAGCCTGTGGATACCGAGCAAGGACCAGGTTCCTCTGGCCACTAGACGTCCCTGTTCCTCCTCTGAAACGCAGCTGGGAACGTTCCCTTCTCTCGCTGCACATAACAGAGCTATAAAAAGGACGGCGCGAGGAAGTGGCACTTTCCCCAGATCCAGCACATTCTTAATATCCCATTCATGAATGCCATAAATGTCATCACGCTATCCAGATTCGGCTGGCGACTGGGACTGAAAACGCCTGCTGCTGTATTACCCGAGTTGCAGACTCCCCAAGGTGGTGTGGCCTGGAGCAATTCTACCGCAAGTCCATAGCACCCTAGGAAGGAGGCTCATTGTCCAAGCATATACCACTCTACAGTAACACTGGATGCTAATTTGAGTCTTGTTATTTCCTTGGGTCAGACACTTTTCAGACACAGACACCCCGTGTTTTATAAGATCGGGCTCAATGCTTTGACTCCGTCCTGTTGCTTAAAAGCAACTGAGTGTTGGATGACTGGAAAAAAAATAAAGCAGATTAGTTATCTCCCTCCCCCATGCACACACCACACCAAGATTTGTCTTTGGTATATAACAAAAATAAACCTCCCACCAGAGACCTTGGAAATCTTGAACCTTTTTTCCCTCCAGGAGGATTTATTACTTTCCAATGAGCGGCTGTTCATGTGCTTCTCCTTCTTGTTCCTATTCATAGGATCAGATCCTGACTAGCATGCACAACCTCAAAAGAAAAGAAAGACTGAATACAAACTGTTTAAAAAATAGCCTGTTAAAAGTGTAAGCTAACTAGGGGTTGACACTGTATCCTATCACACGAGTAGCTGCCTTCAAGAGCCTTACCTTATAGGCGACACTGTTTGAAGAGTCCACAATGATGAAGAGGGGCTTTCTTGTGAAAGGGTAGAGATCTCCAGGGTGAAGACTGAAAAGAGAAAGGGATGCTTCACAGAGCACTGGAACTGCTGCAACGCCGTGACAGCACACAAATGTCCCAGGCACACAGCAGCCCACGTCAGATAAAACGCAAGCAGATTCCCCGTGCCCCAGTCCTCCCATTCAGCCTCAAAGGCAAAACTCGTTTGGTATTCTCTGTAATACGGGCTATGGGACTTATTAGCTCTTTGCCAACAAGAGATGTTTATCTTCTTGAGAAGTCATCCACCTCTAATTTGAAGTTTTCTAGTAACAAAGAATTTACGTTAAGTCACAGTAACACTTTTTGAGTGTTTAAATCGTCATTTACAGTTACATATTCATTCTTAATTGTTCAGCTTCAAGCCAATTTACGTTGTGATGTCCTCCACTGAAGAGTTTGAATTCCAGAGGCTCTGATGCATCTTTCTGCATTAAACACAAATTCTTCCGAATCTGCAGTTGTCACACTCGTGGAACTTACCAGTGCATCTCCTTGTAGGACTGGTTTCGCTTGTGGATAGCATCCCCATTTATAATGTCCCGGTTGCTATTGGTCAGAACACCACCAAAATCATATGGACCTACACATGGCAAAAAGGAAGCTAAAATTAGCACAGGCAGCTCACCCCTGTTAGGGATTTAATGATTACATGTAAGGGATGAGGCAATCACAAATGCCAGAAAACTAAGTGAATCTGAACTACTGCAACTCTAAGGAGGGGATGGAGGAATGCGGAGACTTTACTAAGTACATATCCCATTTTATACATTTTTAGTAGTTTCAGCATCTATCAAATAGAAGCGAGCAGTGCAACTTCAGAACTTCTAATTTATTTATTTGCTACTTATCCGCAAACATAATACAAAAGATCCAAATATTGGCTCTTCTTACACTGCACAGCAAAAAGATGAAAACCTATTACACCTTTCATACAGGAAAACCAATACCTTTGTAAAATTACTATATGAGCTAGCATATTCTAGATTGAGAATTTGATCAAAACCTAAGGCTAAATCAATCAAAACCCCTGTAGCCTCTCAGAGTGGATACACTGCTATCATCTGCGGCTGTAACACTGCAAAGGGGAGAAGAGAGAGCTCAGAAGATGAATATGCTTTCAGTACGCCTAGAAAAGGACAAAACAGTTTTAACCATATTTCAGAGCTGCAGCAAAACTCTATTTTTTTAAGATTTCAACTACAGAATTCACAATTTTTACATGCACACAGCCTGGACATATGTTCCGAAGGTAAGCGAAAGAAATATTCTGCTAAGCTTGTGCAACTGAGCTACCTGTCTGTCTGGTGGACAGCAAAGATGAAAGTAACGGCTATAAAAAATATCAAATCCTGGACAAAAAAATAATAATAAAAAAAAATAAAAAGCAAGCTAGAGATACCAGGAAGTATTTCTGCCATTGATATGGGTATGAAATGTCACTAACATTAGTAAAATAAAGTATTAGGATTTCCTCATTCTGTTACACGTTTGCAGAGTTGGTTGACCTGTATTTGGCCACCAAATGCAATTTTTTCAGGTTTGGACGCGGAAGACACCTTTCCATTTTAAGGGACGCTTTGGGAACACAACATTAGGAACAGAACACACATGAACTTAGCACTGTTACGAACGTCTCGCGTGATCTGTCGTACACAAACAGCTTGCAGGCGATGCGCAGTGCAACTGGCAGCTGCTCTCCCTTTTAATAAGGCAGAACTTTTTGGCTCGCGCAGACCACACCACCTTATTAAAAGAATGCAGTTGTAACGGGATTGATTTAATGCACACTGAAGTCTGACTGTGCAGCTCTTCAGATGTCAGAGCCTGGATGCATCTACAGCAAGGTACTAAGCTGAAACACCACATGCAGTGGACTGGACATACCACAGGCTGTAAGGAACACAGTTGAGTTAGAACCTGTCACCACGTTGCAGCAAAAGTAAAATGTTAAAAGCATTTAAAAAAAAATCACTGCCACAATCCAAAGCTGACAGGGATTTTTTTCCTTTAACATTTTGAAAGCTCTATAAATCATGCACTGGGATGGACAAGGCATGCATCTTATAAAGGAATGCAAGTCTCAAACAGATGAGGCATGTACAATATTTAGGATGTTAATAACTTCTTTTTTTCCTTGAATTATATGAACAGATCTTTTGACTGTGTTTATTTCAGCCAACCAGTTTTCAGCTTTTAGATTGCAGCTGCATCCAAATATTCTGCTAGGTTGCAAAGAACAGGAGGATGTGGTGAGGGGAATTGTCAAAATCATGAGAAGGGCTTGAATTGTCAGGTTAACAAGCGTGCAAATAGAAGAGTCCCTGCAGACGCTTCAGCCCTTTTACCACCCATCTCCTGACCATATGTTCTCCTAGTGCTGGAGACTGGAAAGAATCACAAAGTGCCATTCAGCCATTTCATTAACTTTGCGCTGATGCATCAACTAAGCCACGTGGTCTTCAAAACTGGTGAAGCTTTTAGTACTTCAGATGCATCAAAAACTGGGTATGTCCTTTGAAAAGGTCTCAGGTTAATGCAGACTAATTAAAACACAGAGAATTAACTATTGTTTGTGGAAAAAAAAGGCTATCTTACTAAGTTATCAGGAGAATAAAATTGACTTGTCTTTTAAAAGGAGCTTTGTGACATCTTTCTTGGTCACTTGTCCTGGAACATAAAGAGAATTCAAGCCCTGTTCATGACAGGGAGCATTCCTTTATTGTACCTTCACTATCCGAACGACCTGATGGAAACACGCCCGTGGCAGACAAGTAAATCAACAGCACGCTGTTTGCAGGCAGCTCCTGAAATTCAAATAGAGAGAAGAGTGGCAAGGGAAGAAATGTGTAAGTTTATTTTAATATTCAATCATCACCTTCAAAAATATATTGTCATTTAAGATTGTGCTACTCCTGCTTCTGGCTTCCCTGCACTCTGTTCTTCGATCCCTTCAGACAGGTGAGCACACACACAAAAATGAAAACTGATGACACGTTCGTACTTTTTTTTTTCCCCCCACACAGACTCTAGGCTGGCATTAAGAGGTTCAAGCAGCACTAAAAAAGCATCTGCTTCCACACAGACTCTCTTACTATCTAGCCAGATCTGAGGCTTCCCGAGGCACAGGAACCAAAAGCTGCCAAGATCTCTGCAGACCCTAACTCCCAAAACAATTCAGGATCCTAAAGGAAGTTCTTTGTTTCCAAATAACCCAGTCTGCAACATCTGCCTTTTCCCCCCCGACCCTTCTTGGCTGAACAAGCTCGACACATCCAGGTTTCTGGACAGACCTGTAAAAGATCTGTGTTCCACCTTTCTAATGGGCTGTCCGCAGGAGGAAACAGATGCTTTAAATTGCTGCGAAAGGCTGAGCGTAGAGGCGCCCAAAATCCTAAGCAGTAAGGAGGCACTTCCTTCACTTCACCGGCTGTTTCTTTACAGTTCTTTCTTGAGACAAACTGAAACTTGTTTCTTCATAGGACTCATATTCCATTTTTACCACTAAATCCTGTTGCTGACTTGTACAGCCATAATTAAGCATAATAAGGCCAGGAACTTTATTAAATTAAAATACGCACGGCAACTGTATTTTAAAAAGTCTACAAACGTTTCGATTACTTACATGGAAGAGAGCAGTGGGTAACAAAGACAGACAGGCAGATAAATACAGCACGTGCAGGAGAGAGCTACAATTCCAATGGGACACAGAACTGAGACCCGCCAGGTGTGCAGTGCTTAAAAGCAACTGTTTCTTGAAATACTTCCCTCATTTTGGACTGTTTGGCACAACATGAAGTACAAGAATACTCTTAAGATTTTTCTGTTCTCCAGATCTCTCAGTAAGTATTTCCTATATAATATATATAGGAAATAGATGAACTTTATATAGGAAAACTTATTTTTATACGTACGTCTGCATATGTAAATATAAATGTCTGTTTATATGTGTGTGTGGGTACACATGCACAAATAAAATTACTGGAAAAGATTAAATCACATGCAACACTTACATGACATCACATTACTTAGGGCTTCCCACAGTATTGCCATGCACCACGCCTGATACCAGACAGCTACGACTACGACCGCTCGCACGGGAGCTGTTCAAGCTCTGCTTTGAAGAGGGCTGTATCTTAGCAATGACAGAACAACTGCTGTTTAACAGCAAGCTGGGCTTCTGTCTTAAAATGACTCTTTTTTTTAAAATTTCCCTTCACAACAGACAACAGATTTGCTTTTATTATACGAATCACACATATCTATAATATCTCTACCCTCTCTGAAGATCATACTGAACATTTTAAGAATGCCAAAAAGCATTAATTATCTCGAAGTATAAAAGATTATCTCAACCACATTTTACTCAGTGTCACACACTATTCTGGATATTTTTCTATTAAGAATAAATTCAATTTCACAAACCTTAAATGATGCTGCTAAAAATGTATATAGCTGGCTAAAAGTTGGTTTATAAAGTAGATATTTATGGGGGTTTTCTCGCCTGGCTGGTTTCTCCGTTGACTCCTGTTAAAAGAAAAACAAAAAACACAACACAAAAACCCAACAACTGTAGAATACCAAAGCAGTTTCATAACCCTCTAAATTTCTATTCATTAGAATGTTCATCTTCAACGTACTTCCACCCAAATGGTCTGCCCAAGCTGCACTTCCGACTGCACAGTAAAGCAAGATGCACAGTATGGGAACCAGAACTTTGTATTATCCTTCATTTAAATTTGTTACCTACATCTTCCTTACTCTCTAAAGCATCACCCAAGAAAAGAGTGAAAAAATTCACTCCTCATCTCAATTAAATAAATTAAAATCTACATATTTCCTTTTGCCTCCAGATAAAGTGGTTTTTATGCTTTCTCTGAAGGGAATATTTAACTTTCAGATGACTTAGCAAGCTGATGAGCTTATCTGGCTGCACAACTGCTAGAGTGAAAACAAGGAAGGGGTGACGTGCATACGGGTAAGGACAGGCACGGCACCCCTTCAGAAGTACCTCGGCTAGACTGATGTAAACCAGTTGTGAAATGATGCCCAAATATTTGTTCCTGCTATTTTTTCCCCACTGTTGAAGGTTTGCTAAGGAGAAAAAAAAGGAAGGGAAGACATGGCTTGGATCAAACTCCACAGGTTTGAGCTACTCCTCACTAACCAGTAAGAGTTACACCAGCTTTACCAACCCGCTCTGCACAGTGACAATACTGAAAGAGTACACCGCTCAAAACAAACAAAAACCCCCAGCTAAGATCTGTTGCCAGGTTTATCACAGCAGGAGAACTTACCTGCATTCCAGGTTTGTTCATTTGTGACGCTAAATTCATTGGTTCCCTTTCAAGTGCTTGTAGCATTCGGAACATATCAATTGTTAATTCACTGAACTTGACCTGCAAGAGAGTTAAACAGTTTATCCTGCCAGATACAGATTAAACAGCATTTCTTTGGAATCATCCAGGTAAGAGATTCAACTGCATACCAGGCAGACCATTTTCTGTCTCTCTAAGACCTGTCAGTGTCATCTTTGAATCTCTAAAGAGCTGTGAATGACTTTTAGAAGAGCTCACAGAGGAAAAGGTCTATTTATTACTGGTCTACCAGGCCAGTTCACTATAGTACAGACCCCTACTTTGCAAATTACAGACTTTGCTGGGGTGTTTACAAATCAAATGCTGAAACAGCCATGTACTACGAATTTAGACAAAATCTGAAAAAGATATACAAAGTTGTAGTTTAGGTACGACTGCCTTGCTTATCTGAAGAAAGAGCTCAGAGAGTAGTCACGAAGTCTGTACAACTTCACTATCATCATCATCATCTAAAACCCAAGATCTTGAGCGTCTTTTGAAAACCCCTTCCTGTTGCAACTGAAGTTGCTTCAGCAGGTCATGTGAAAGCACGAGTCAAGCTTTTTCTAGACCTATCCCAGAGGCCTCTCATGCTCGAACAATCCAGTATATGAAAATCAATTGTATCTACTTAATTGATATGATGAATGTAAGCAATAAGGGGTGAGTACCACAGGTCTAATATCTAACGTTTCATTTTTAACTCTGACTTGTGAGAGCCTCGTCTTCTTGCTGCCGCTGCAAACAGCACAATCAAAATATTTGAATGTTCGCCTCTATTGGAATCGCTGTTGTGTGATCAGAAGATATCGGGGGAAGGACTCTGAACTCCAAAGATACAAACCCAAGCGCCTGGAAATTCTTTTACCTGGTTGTTGCAGTTCCCAATAATCAGCGCATCTGCAAGAGCAAGCTGTCCCACTATCATTCCCTGCTCTAGCAACGGAGCTCCTGTTTCAGAAAGCCTGTTAGAGGTGATTACAATGGTGTTGTCATCATTTAAAACCATGACAGGGTCTGCCTAAAAAAAGCAACCAGAATAAATCAGGAATTCAAGCAAACATACAGATTTGCAGCCAGAGAGAAGTCCAAAGGTCTTGTCACTTACAGCAAACATTTCATAACGGAGGCCGATTTTTAAAATTAATTTGCCATATATATATTTGTATGCAGGCTACAGAGTAGTGCCTTACCCCATGGAAAAGCAATAGCTCTTAGGGACTGCAAGCAAATACACAGTACAAGCACCTGAAGCTACAGCAAATAGAAAAACATACTTCCTCGAATGACATGAACTCTGCTTCAGCTTTTCTATACCTGAGGAACCAAATGTCATCAACAACCTTACAAGTTCTCACAGAATAAACTAAACATTCCTACAACATAGAAGAACCCTGAACTATTTTAGTTTGCCTTCCCTCCCTAGAAATAAATAGCAAAGGAGATGAGTGAATGATAACGCTGCCATCCATTCTTTATGCTATCCTTAAATAAATACTCGTGTTACATAGTGACATCCTGTACAAAAGGGGGAAAGTGGAACAGTCTCATTTGTCAGAATAAAAAAAAAACTTTCCTTTTAACAAGCTTCAGAAGTTGGTCACATTACGACTGTGCTAACAGCCCACCGGTTACCTCCCATGCTTACACAGCATTTTCCACTCTACACTGCTTATGCATTGCCAGTGTAACAGACCAGTACTCCAGCAAAGTACACCTCGAAACACAACCAAGAGATCAGCAAATTGGACTGGCTTCACAACAACAGAATTAGAGTTGACAGTCTCTCCAAAATATTGACCGTGGTAACTGCTGTGCTTTCAATTCCACCATTTTCTGAACACCAAGAGCAAACCCAAGCAGGTGACCAAGTGCATCTCAGCTTCACTCTTCGGGCTTCAACGCGTTACATGGCCAGGTCTGACCCTTCGGGCCCTTTAACGGCTGTCACTGCTAAGCTACTGCGAACACCCTCAATGATTACATTGGACAGGAACACTGTCCCTGCACGTGGCGCATCGGCTTACCACGTGGAGGTGGTGATACAGGAACACCTCGGTGAATAAGTCAGAAAGTTTTACTTTTAAATCAACAACTAAAAGGGAATGGTATTCTCACCTCGATAAACGCTGCCACTTCCTGAAGAACGAGGTTCCACTCCACCTGATCCTCAGTATTAAAGCGATGAGTGTAGTCTTCGATTTCATCTGACAGCTCCTGATGTAAAGAGGTCAAAGACAGACATAGTCACTTCTTAAGCTAGAGCTTAACAGGCAGTCAGTAACTTTACAGTTTGGTTAGCTGTGCTGGCCTTTAAGAATAATTAAAAAAAAAAAAATTACTTGAGAACATATGCAGCACACTTATGACTAACACGCCAGCCAAAACGCGCTCTTTCAGGAGACAGAATGCCAATGTGACACTGAGTTTTGGCAATGCAAAGTGTCTTTTAAGAAGGTCCAAATGCAAAGAATATCTGGAGTTAAGTATAACCATCCCACTCGCATACAGCTATGTCACTGGTTATCACCATAAGCTATGGATAACCAAGGACTCAAATTTCAGTTCACAAGTAACTTTAAATATATCGAGAAAGTGAATGGTAGGGCTTTTTTAGCTGCTACTAAGCTAAGCTGGCAGTTCAAGGAAGCTTAGACACAAAGACAGTAATGCAACCTACACAAAACTGTCAATACCAGAAGCTACTTGCAGCAAGGTTGTTGGAGGGGTTTGGGAAGCATATGCTGTCAGGAGACGCATGCTGTTCCTTTGTTGCAGTTAAAGGGCACCTCCCTATCTAGGCTGCAGCTACTGCAATACCGTTACTCGGTGCTCAAACAATGCCGTCAAATCATTTGAGCTTGAAGGGTCATCATTAAATGTCCAGTTCACAGAAGATGTTGGATGTCAGATACACTAGAAAAGCCATGATCCACACTGGCCTGTACTCTATTTGCTGCACCTAAGGACTCGTGTTTACAGGCATCCAGTGCTTTACTCCCACGGCAGAGGCACAGGCAGGTCCAGCCTCTCCAACTTCATAGTGGTATCTACATCATTTAGCAAGGTTTAATTTTGATGGGTCTCTGGAAGTATTCAGGACACATCCAGGATGTGTTCTAGACCTGAGACAGAGTGATTGCAGTTTGGAAGGGAAGAGAAATAAGCTCAACATCAAGCTAGGAGACAAGGGCTTTCCAAGCAACAGCGTGTCATGAAGACTTGCTGGGGGAGACTCCACCAATGTCTTAAATCCACTACAGGAATGAAGATGTACTCAGAGTTATCACAAGCCCCACATTTCCAGATGAATAACATGCACCTTACAGTTTACTCCTAGCTATATAAATTTGTGAAGTTCTTCTCTAGCCAAATGTTCAGATCATACCGAATCTTTCCATACCTCTAGTCATGTTACTCCTTCCTTTTGTGGCATCCAACAGCACAATCAATTAAACGAGGAAAAAAAAGGAAAAGCTATGCTGCAGCAGCAGCTAACATCATAGATCCAAAGAGTGATTGAAATAGACTATATTATGGATTCCTTAATGAGGAGAAAAGCCCTGAATAACCAGCAACCTCCCACCCCTTAGCACGTTTATTCTCATTTTAACCTACCTTTACAAGGTCCTTTACAACATCCATTTTGTTGAGCAAGAGACAAACCACTATAAACCTTGCATAGTAACGCAGCTTCTTAACCACTAATTCAGGCCTAAACACAACAACAAAAACAAATCTGAGATTAAAGTAGAACACACATAGGCAACAGGGGTAAGGGAGAAGAGGAGTTTAAGACCAGAGCAAGGCTGAACACTCTGCAGATGAAGAGTTCTAACTGAATTCATGTGGGGATCAATAGCTACCTGGCTGTTGAGGGGTTTATTTAAAATTGAGTACAGGGACATAAAATACACATCAGAAAGCCACAGCCTCCCCCTTCCCCACAGTCTCCTTACATGAGAACAGGCATGGGAGTCAGATATAACCGCTGTCTCTTCAAACCTTTTGACAGTCCACGGGCACTATCTGACCCCGCTGCACCACACGATAATCACAGCTGGCTCAGAGTTCACCCACCTGGGGCAACTCAAGAGATCTGCAAGTCAGCATAGCCTGTAACTGCTCATCCATTTCTAAAATCTTCTGACAGCATCTAGAAACATGCTTGGTCAATCCTACCTTGTCTGAAACAGCTCAAGCACTCAGACTGAAATTGAGAGATTTTTAAGAGAGAAGATAATAGGCCCAACAGCGATCAGAACAGAGCAGGGAAACTTTCAGCTTTTTTGTGGCACACAGGTGCATTTAGACATCAACAAGACTAGAGATGTGCAATTAGTTTAAGTCCAGAGATCCCTGAATGCTTGGCAGGAAACTCCCTAGCTAACCTTCTGCATTTATCTTGATGATGACTTCAGATCATTTCTTCTTTAACCTTACTTTGATGAGAGAATCCAGGTTTACTGGCTAGAATGTAAGATCAGGATCCAGAATCGAGTTCTCTACCTACTCTTATTTATATCTGTCTATGGTCTTGGCAGGCAGCACACTTTCTGCACTGCCACAACACAGCCCTATTTTGAGTGTCATCTTTCTCAGTATAGCATCTTAAGAGGAAGACGTTATGCCTCCTGAAGCTCTTGGACCTTGTCCCAGTCAGTTACAGAAGCTGTTGCACTGCAGTACTAACTGATGTTCCCCTGAAAAGCCTGATTAGAATCAAACAGGTTCCTCTGCTTCAGCCCAACTGACCTGTCTTCCAGCCACAGCATACTAGGTCCCAGCACCGATACTGCTCAGGACTCAAAATGACAAGGCTTTGGGGCTAACAGCTTTCTAGCCAGGACCAGGTACTAGGATACTCCTCCAGTCATACAGCAGTGCTCTTATTTATACTGAGGTTTTTTTAAATGTGGCAGGAGGATTAAAAGAAACTCCCTTTAACAACACTGCTTTCATCCCATTTATGCTCCTACAGTTTATAGTTATTTGCCGCTTTCATACACCGTTCCAGTCTTGAAAAAACAAGGGCCTTCCTTCGATTTGTTCAGACATACCTGTCTTCTTTGTTGACTTGGGAGTAGTATGACCTCTGCCTAATTGCTGAATAGAAGGAGAAAGCTTCATTGAGATAGCTGGTTTCTGAAGTGCGCAAGCTGCAGAGGAAGAATCAGATTAGCTCACCGCTTCAGATGGAAATCCGTGCCAAACCCTCCCTTCCTGCCCCCTCAACCATCTTGTGCATCAATGGCAAAACTCCCTCCTCAAGTAAAATCGTATGAAAGCCAGACTCGCATTTTTTGTGCCTGCTGGGAAGACAGATTTCAGATCTTTTCAGATCTGCCCATCTTGTACCCATATGTACAGGTGACAGGTTAACTGAAAAGTTTAAAGGAACATTAAGCTCCCAAACTTGTAAATCACACTTTTGCCCAAGAGTCAAATGCAGCATGCATGGAAGACTTAGAGACACTTTTGAGGTAGAACACAAGTCCTTAGGCAGTATCAGCTAGCGATGTGGTATCTGGCTCACAGGTGCCTCTCTCTGCAGCACCCCCATGCAGTCCCAAGGGCCTTCTCATTCAGAAACAGGCACGGTGACTCTACTGGTACATTGATTTCTCCTGACTGAGTATCCAGACATTTGGCATGGAGCTGCCACTAACTGAGTTCCCCTACTGAATCCTCTTCTGTGCTTACTTACTAATAATGGTAATAGAGCTGCCCAATCTTGGAAGCAATTTCCCCAATTTGCCACCGCTTCAACCCATACCGATTGTCCAATACTTGTCTATTTCGCAAGAGAGAAAAGAAAGATTAAAAGGCATTCCAGAATTTCTCAGAACATCACACCAGACAAGACAAAGAGCCACTGTAGGGCCAAATCCAGCTTTCATTACTGGTGTGGCATTCCCAGCAGCAGCCCCTCACAGAGCGACCAGCACTGCACACACACACCGGAACAAGGACCGTCTACCTCACACAAACTGGTGAGAGCTAGACACGAGTATGTTGCACAACATACACACCACAAAAGGTCACAACTTCCCAGGAGAACACTCAGACTATGCAGCCCATGTAAGGTGTGAAAGATCAGAGCCCACGCTGCAGCAAGACGCTTCACACCGTTCCAGATGGGTTCTGCACTGCAGAAGCCATCATCCCAGCTTCTCCTCGCTAATATATTAAAGCAACATGCGTTCAAGTAGAGCAAAAGGTTTTGTTAAAAAAAGTCACACTGCAAACTCTGCAACATTTTAATCCATTAGAGCGTGAGCACTACAGGAAGTGACTGTTCCCTCCGTTCATGCTTGAATAACACAGTGAAATCTCAATCTTAACTGGGGGCCCTAGGCATACCAGAGATTAAAGTTGCACTTAAATCCACAGAACACATCTGCCTACACCATTCCCTTACCGATGTTGCTGTTGAAACTTCCAGAGTTTGGTGTAAACGTCAAATGTTCGCCCAAAATAGGATTGCCACTGCTTTTGCCCATACTGAGGTAAATCCCTGCAACAGACAAGTGACAAATCCAGAGTTAGGGAGTAGATTCCAGTCAGCCCGGCGTGACAGCAGCATATTTCTGTCAATGTCAGAATAACTTGGTTCAGAATTGACTTGAAATGCTTTACACCTCTGCCTGCACCCAGAACTACAAGAACTATGATTCTTGTAGTTTCTCAAAACCTGTTGTTACTAGAATCTGCAAGGAAATCCTGCTTAGCTTGTAGGAAGTACATATATCAAGATCTGACCTTAGTACATGCCACAAGCCAGACAGCCTATTAATTTAACATAGATACAAGAAAAGACTGCATATGCATATGAGAAAGAAGCATGTATTGGAAGGAGGAAGAAATTCTTCAGTGCTGTCTCCTCGTTATTGCTTCCCACTTTCAGATGAACTCTCTATCACTTTTCAAATGCAAAAGGATTGAAGTTACCACTGTTACTAAAGGTCCTGTGCATTTTGCAAATGTTCCAAGTGACTGCCTACATTTAATCACTGTTTGGGGACACAGCAAGCCAAGGTCTCAAACCACCTGAGCCCTGCAGGTTCCATACAAAAAAGGATGACGCTATGACATCAAACTGAAAGTGTGCAGCTTAACCACAAGGTTTTGAAGTAAAACTTTTCCTTCCTAAAACAAGACAATAACTCGGCCTTCAAATGCAAGAACTTATTCAAGGAACAGCAGAATTATTCTAGTTATTCTAGTGTCTACTGCCAGTCAATATGCACAGCCCTTAATGTCCTACCCCAGAGCACTCGTCCAGCTGCAGACCAACAGACCCCTTACGAAAGGCTGACTCTCCCTCCCCAAGATTCAGCAAGATGGGTCCTGTCCAGCAGCTGCCACCAGTTACACAGGTGGACATTCACTTTTAAGTTAGTTATGAAATATATGGTAAATTTACAGTGTATTTATATGGTATTTATCATGAACATATGACACCGTGTAGACATGAGCCGGTTCTCTCCCGATGTGCCCCGGACTCACGAATGGCTGCTCCAACATGCAGAACAGCAGCAGACGGAAGCAGCGCTCTCCCTGAGTGAATTAACAGGAGTCAAGTGATTGGATACGTGCAGAAACATTGGTATTTATGGACAAACACAGTCTAAAGGGCAAAGAAGAATCAATGCTCTCTAACCCCTGTGAACATGCCTTTATCAAGGTCCTCAATATCAACAGGTTCTCATCAGCATCAGAACAGGTCTATAAATAATCACTCCAAATAGGAAACGACTGTGTTCCTACACGTATTTTTCAACAGGTGATTGAAAACATCTTACTGTCTTGCTAAAAGAGAAGTAATTTTAGGGTTCTATGCACAGCAAACTAAATTGGACTCTTAAAATATCACAGTAAAAAAACCCAACCTACTCAAGAGCAAGCAGAATAATCTAATGGAAATTAGTTCATTTAGACTCATTTAGACTGATAATACTTCTTGCTACTCATTAAGGAAGTAATCTTTTTTTAAATGGATGAGGCTGTTCCTTGTGTTTCAGAAACAGACCCTACAACATCATACATAAATTAGCTGTCCAAATGTCACCAGGGCCAGCAAGCCGATGGATGCTCACGGCTCACGCTCGCTGGGTCAGGTTACCTCGTCGCCACAACATGTGTCACCCTCTAACTCAGTTAGTGAGACATCAGAACCTGAGACCTTCTGTTTTTTTCATGGCAGTCTCCAGTGCTACACGGCGAGTTAGTCAACCCAGTTCAGTTCTGCTTTCATACCTCCACTCGATTTCCACGCTGTGATCTATTTCCCTCCGCCTCCACCCCACAACTATGATACAGTCCCAAGGATTTTACCTTTAAAGGTTTGGGCTCTCAATCCTACCAGAAATCCGTCACCTGGGAGTTACTTGGCTCTTGGAGCAAATGCAACAGAGAAGACCAAAAACCCTCAGTCTCACTGAGCACACGTTGCCTACAAATCTATACTGAAGCAGATTCAAAGGAGGCATCCAATTCTACAAGCGGAAGAGCTTTTGCAAGACAGCATAATCTTTCATTTGATTCAAGAATGATTTCTTCAGGGAATGCTCTCTCAAATCACTGTGCTGGTTTACGTACCACCCAACACCTCAGTTTTCAGCATACGGGCACGAGAAGCAGCATATTCCACTTCCAAGCCTTGGAGGTCAAGACTGAGGGAAACACCACCTTTTGGAAACCATGCCATGTCCTCTGGAGGAGTAAGACAGGCAAAGCAGTACACTACGATTTTCATACTGGCGCACTTCTGCTAACTGTAACTGCTTTAACAGCACCCTAGGTAGAAAAGGAAATTAATATTCCTTTGCTCATCAGCCAACTGTACTTCCCACACAGCTTGAAGGGACCTAGCTTCGTTACTACATGTAAAATGAATCCGTTATCAGCTACGACTCTTACCAGCCCAGAAAACCATTCCAGTACTTGCTGCTGCTATTCTGTGAAGATGACAAGGATCTGGGCAGGCTTTCACCAAAAAAAACAACCCAAAAGCAAACCAAAAAAAACCCACAACAAAAAATCCCCTCAAACTTGCAACTCGATGCTTAACATCTCGGAACATACCTTGGTGTAGCGAGAGGTAAACAGGAGTATGTGCTTCAGGGCACCAACATCTTCATCAAATACAGCCCAATACAAACACTTGCAAATCCAAAGCATTTACTGCAACGAATGATTCACTGCTTTCTATTGTTGTAATAGATGTAAACTGTCCACATACATGCCTAAGACATATGGCAAGCTTTGATATAGCAAGAGGTAGTGTTAAATTTAATTAGTACATCCACAAGTTTCAAGGTTAAAAAAAAAAGAAAATAAAAAGTGAATACAAATATAAAACAACATTAAAACTGATAATTTAAAAAAAAAAAAAAATTAAATAAAAAATCAGGGTTCCCTGGCACTAACTTAAAGAATGACTGAATTAGCACAGAACCCTACCAGCAGCAAATGAGGCTTTCCAGGCCAAGCTGCTGAGGACATTTGAGCAAGGTCTGACATAAGGAAACAAGAACACACACCACCTTCTCTCAATCACAGAGAAGTAGGTAGGGGCACAAATTAAGAAATGAGCAGGTAACTGTGTGCTGGTCATGCTTATGCACATACCCCTCGTCTGTAAGCTCATATGCTCTTGATTCCTCCCCTGCCATCTTCCCCCTGGCACCTCCGTCACCCCCTCGGCTCCGTCCCTTCGCCTGTAGGAGCCGAAGCATCCCTACGAACCCTAGCTCAGCTCACCGCCCCGCGGTAGCTCTGAGGGTAGGAAACCCAGTGGCGTTTCCCAAAGCCCCCGTTAGCGCAGCGCACACGCGTTCGGCCGTTGTCCTCAGTCCCTGCTGGGTGTCCGCACGCGTACGTCTCGGGCGGCGCGCTCGCCTAATTGCAGCTGGCATAGCTGCACAATGCCACGCGATTCCTCGGCTCCCCAGGGAACAGGAAAGATCTCCATGGAAACAGACAGTAGCACTTGTTCTTTTGATAGTATTCTGACACGGCTGTAATAAAACTTCATTTATGACAATACATTACCGTGGTTTCACCACCGATTTTTGCAGACAAGAGCTGCCATGGCTGCCATCCATTTACTGTTCTGTGTTCTGAACACCATGCATGTTGCTCCCACGTATCAAGAAATTTTGCTGTGAGAAAACGGTTGCATAAGCAGACATTTAGTGCTGTTTTGGGTTGGTTTTTATTTTTAATCAGATCAGAGAATCTGCATTATTTGATGAGAAATAGCCCAAAAGAATACTAAAGGCTCAGTTGGTTGCAGAGTGGATTATTAATGCAGCTCCTCCCACTGAAGAAAACAGGGAATATATGATCCAGAAGCAATTACACATCCAACTTGAGAGCAAAAGACCTACGTTATAGCAAGACATTTTGCTACTTCCAGATCGACAGAAGGACATTAGAGCAATACGGAGAGAAAAAGGCAACAGCCTCAATCTCCTCCAGGGTGTGCCTGGCTGAGGGTGGTGGGTGCAGCACAGGCAGTGGTAGGGGCCCTCCCTCAGGCTGTTACTGATCATGACCAGCCTTACAGGAGGGAGGAAGTAGCAGCAAGAAGGAATCCAGGTGCAGAGGGGGGAATGGAGATGCTTTGATTTAGGACAGTTCTATCCAGACAGAGATGACAGCTACACGCTTCGTTACAACAGCCTCCAACAAGTGGAAAACTGTTTCCAATTTCTTGGCTTTTAAAACATTCTTAACTGGACATGAAGACACAAACTCAGATGTTCTAAAAGGATGGGTTTCTCACCCTGGGCACAGAAGACTGCTTCTCTTGCTCCACTAGAGTGGCTGGTGGATAAACTCCACAGACAGTCCAGAATTTTATCCAAGTCTTGCTGTATAGTCTCAGCAAAGAGCAGCACTACTTTGTGCTCATAATTAATTTTCTGTCAGTAGCTCATTTCAGCCATGCTGTTGGCAGAAGCCAGATAACACTGGCTGAGCACCAATTAAAGGTGCTGAGGTTTGTCTGGCCAGCGCCGCGCGGAAGGTGTCACACAGGGACAACTTCCAGAGACTTAAAGATGTTGAGAAAGTCCTAGAGACTCAGCAGTATACTTGACAAAGGAAGGTTACAACAACTGTAAGTTTAACATTCAGAGCTCTAAAAACACCTGTGGTTTTGACAGGTGATAAAAAAGACAATTTCCTTTCATGTTCATAGACTTGTAGTAATTACAGGCTCCTGTTCACAGAACCTAAGCAGCAGTGGGGTAACGGCATTGTGGTGTAGCTTCCCCATCACCTCTCACAACCCACAAAGACAGCAAGCACACCAGTAGCACTCACAGTAACTTGCCTCACTGGTGTGAGAAGCCAGTCCCTTCCCAGTACCAGACAGGGTACGGCCTGCAGCATTACCTGAAGCTAACAGGGTCCTGTTGTTTCTAAATCAGCAGCGTGGAACAAAACTAAGAGGTTCAACTTACATCTGACTAGAAGTCTACAAAAGAAATGGTTAAACACCATCACCCCTTTCCATGAAAGGACAGCACGATCCTTGCAGCCTGCACAATGAGCAACAAGACCGTATAACGTGGGAAAGTATGATATATGTGGAAAGTCTTTTCATTTCTTAAAGTGTCAAGTTTCTCTGTGATACTGAACACATGTAAGCACTTTTTAACATTAAAAAGAAAATAATAACTGGTGACAGTACCCCACGAAACACTGCTTCCTAACATGCTCCCTCTTTACAGCCTTCTTCCAAGAAAAAAAGCAAGTGGGAGTGGGTAAAGGAGAGAAGAGAGCAGTTGGAACATAATTAATAGTTGTTTCTAACTTATAGCAGCTCAGGGTGTTCAAAAAGGGAGTAGAGACACTAGAAAGACAATCTCCCCTCTAAGTTAGTCTAGCAGGCATGGCCACAAAAGGATGGTATCGCTGGTAGTGCGAGCACGAAGTATACTTTGGAGCAGCAACCTTGGCAGAGCATCATATGTTTTCCTCAAATGCTTTATTTGGCATCTGTATGGGGAAGAGAGGAAGGAAATGCTACTGAAACAAAGACGTGGCAGGGGGGGGCGTTGCATTTTTGGCAGCAGCAACAGCTAAGCAGCTGCCAACACAGCTATAGGCTCAGTTCCCTGTAGCTGAAGTGCCCAAAGGAGGTTTCAGGAAGGAAATCATTGCTCTCCTCTCCCTCCCCCATCACTTCTTTTCCATAAAACATGGTAGATACAAGAGAATGGCATAAAACACAGCAGCAAAGGCCATCATCATCTTCAAAACAGAAGGAGGCAGGCATGCATCAAATGCATTTATTATGCTAGAAGGAAAAGCAAGCAACTGGACTAAAAATTAGGGTACTTGCCAAGTCATTTCCAGGTCAACTACCCAGAAGAGAACAAGCACTAACAGAGGAGATACCTGAAAATCATAATGGTGCTTTATCCAGTCCTTATGCCCATAGGAATCACAGCCCTTATGAATGGTGGTCAAATTCGGTGCAAGAAGCAACTACACTACTGTGTCAAGTTACAGTAAGGCCAGATGTCGGCTCCCGCTCCGGTACGTTCTTATTTTCACACAGCAGAGCCAGCTGCTGAAGCCCACCTCTCTGTTTTTATTGCCCAAATTTCATCCAAAGGTATTTTCCATTTTCTTTTCATCTGGCTGGAGAAGAAGGTTGACTTTTTGGCAAAGTACCACGGATATACACAGAAACTGCATCTCTCATCTGGAAATCGGATACAGGTACTAACTCCCTCCACGCCCAAAGGAAAAGACAGAATCGCTGCAGGTACTCTGCCATCTCTGTGATCTGAACTTGAGCAGCAAGTGAACTGTATTAATTCGTACTCTTCAGTGACTCAGTCCAAAATTTCAAGCAAGCTCCATCAGAAAGCCAGTGTAATGGCATATATGCTCCTGAAAATCCTGGCCTCAAGATCTCAGTCCTTTTGCTTTAGACTCTGTTTCATGGGGTGTCGAATGCAATCACCCAGAACGCCTTGTCTCTACTGCCCATTTACTGTTCAGATTTTGGAGCACAAACTGTTTGTTTTGGATTTGGTAATCAACTTCCAAAGCACATGAAAGGATTATCGATAGCAGGGGGTGGGGGGGAGGAATTAAAAACATCTTTGCTAACCATCTGTGTTTGAATAACAGCAAGCTATATGGGCCCAAACATACAGTATTACTCAGAGACCAGTAAAAGACTGAACTGCCAACATGAGCTAAAAATCATGTTGCTTAAGAGACTCTACAGCAAAGCTTAGAAATAAACCAACTCTTAAATATGTAATCTTTAACTCAGCCTATATTGACATCAACAGGATGCCTATATCACTGTCCAAACATGAACTATTTTCCTTGAACTCCCCTTACTCTTATTCCCCTTCTTATTGGTGCTGACAAAACAGTTAAGATTTTCTAGATATCATGGCAGATACTTTGTAGATAAATGCAGATTTTACCTTTCTCCACAGTTCAGATTAAGCATTTGTTTCACCAGACACATACAGGCTACAGCTTGGATGTTCCCGTTTATCTTCCTACATTTCTTCCCCCAAAAATATTCCCTCCCCGCACTTCCCTCCAATCTAGGCCAATCCTTCTCATCCCTTTTCATTTTGGTACAGAGACTGTGGGGGTTTGGACTTGTATGCTGCTGACTGTACATAGCCACACCTAGTCCTTCATTGTGTACTTCATACATTCTATCAATTTCACAGAATTTCCAACTTCTATTTTACTGTTAACTGACACGACCTAGACATTCAGCTCACCCTTCTCACATTCCCCTCCCTACTGTCTCAGAAGAAAGGTGTGAACCTCTGCTCCTACAGACATTCTTACGTACACGGTCCAAAACGACCCATACATGGGTACATGTTGTTCTCTCCTGAACAAACTTACTGGGTTTGAGTTCGAAATGTTCGTTACACAACTGACTTCAGCATCACTGAAGTGCACGTTCCAATGCTTTTCTGAAGGGATACTGTCAAAAATGCACTAACCTTAAGCCATTGAATAGCTGTTTAGATTTATCCAATAAGTAGCAAAAGTCTGTCACTGTTTTCCTCTCTGCTTGAGGAATATCATCTTCAGCTCCTCCTGATGACATGATTTCTTTTAGGGCAAACACAGTCCTGTGAAGAAGAAAATAGTCATATTACTCAAAAATTGAGGGCTACTCTTTAACTCATCCAGATTAGACGCACGTACGGTTCCATGGGGATGGTAACAAAGAGCATGCAATTCTCCCACAGGTTACTCTTCTCACGACTCATTAAAAATAACAGCTGAGAATCAAAGCACGGGACTAATTATCACACAATGCACTAGATAACAGAGCAAAATTAAAAATAAAAGTGGTACAAGAGCCATAAAATAAAATAACTCCGAGGACTGTATTCACAAACACAAAACTGCCAACAAAAGGACGGCAACACAAACAGTACTTGGGTTTCATACCTGGACAAAGAAATCCTCTCTAAATTTGCCTTTCTGCAGAGGTGTTTATCCTGCAGCCGTATTTAAAGAGACCAGCCTCAGTTCTGTTCACACTTCTTTTTCTTCTATAACTGCTGAAAACTGTAGCTCACTAGTTCCTATTGCTAAAACATAGCAATTTCAGACAGAATGCTAAAAAATATTCTGCTTCCTCTCTACTCCCTTATGACTGTTTAATTCCATGGCTTGCACTGCCCACAATTATACCTGCAGATCTATTTTTACTGTTCATATGAGCAAAATGTCATACTGCACAGTAATCACCTGAACAAAACCCTAAGATATAATGTAGATAATCCTAGTATTGAGTAAGTAAGGGAATAGAAAAGCCTATAAAGGCAGAGTGGCTTTTAAAATCTTATTTGAAACATACATAGAGATATAAAATTATCCTTTTCAGGTTCCAAAGGTGAGCTACAGATTTCCCAGCAGCAGCAACAAAACATGCTCCTCTGAAAATGGCTGCCAGGTCTTTAGCTCTTCTGTGCTCTCTAAGAATTTTAGTGCAAGATAAACACACCTCTAACTGGGCAAATGCAGAGCTTTTACTTTCAGCAACTTCTCTACCGGTTCTGGTAAGCAGTTTTGTTAAGCAACAAGCTTCCATTTGTGCAGAAGCTTTGTTTGGATGCTATTTGCACAAATAACTACCTGCAAGTCCCAATTCCAGTCAGGAAATGGCAACGCTAACTCCTTACAGTCATTGGAAAGTACCCAGGAGCATCTTTCATCAATTGTCACGAGACACCTTCACAATAACCCAATCGACTTTAGAAATACTTCCCTGAACAAACACTTTGTGCCTACCAAATGTGGAAGAAATTGGAAGTTCCCCCTCAGCTTTCAGGGATAAGTTAGAGAGCGTGCCCTGCCAACCAAGCAGTTTCGTGATTTCCCAGTTTAGACGAGGTGCAGTGCACATTTACTCGCAACACACATTTACTCGTCTTTCCACGCCCACGTGACAGCGCACTAGAGCACTAGTGCAATGACACGGGGCGCGCTGCACAAACCGCCTGTTGAAGAGTTCCAGAAAAAGGTAGGAAGTCTCTGTACCGTCAGGCAACTGCAACATGGGTGCCAGACAGCATAAGGGAGTTCAAAACATACCAACCAGATGTCAGAAGCCGCTGGGTGAGCCTAGCAAGCAGGACACGAATACTGTGAAGCGCCAGCCTGTGTCTGAAATCTCTGAACATTTACATTCACACAGCGCGAAACAAACAACACCGAGTACTTAAAGCACCAACGTATGAAATCGAAGTGAACAGCGAGAGCTGAAAACCAGATGTCAGAAGTAGCCAGGAGGCGACTCAGGAATTTCAGGCAGAGGGACAATACCCCAGGTCCTGTGTGCTCCGCAGCAAGGGTGACCTAAATCCTGCGGCGAGGTCCCTGGGCTCTGCAGCACTCCACCGTGGTAGACCAGGAACTCTAGAGCAGCTTCAGATACATTTTCAAAAATTGAGTAGCTTGCTTAAATGACAAAGGATGTTTCACACAGCCTGTATATCATTCCTCTAATTCAATTGTAAAGTCAATTTGATTTTATGCTACCCTTGAGTGATACCACCCCACTGCCCCACCCGCTGCTAACCCTGGCCAACTGAATCTGTGTCAGCCCTGGCGCGGGCAAGTCAAACCAGCCGCAGTTCTCACATCGAGGGAGTCCACTAGACCCACAGCAAACAGGGCCATTTATGCAATCAGTGGAAGATATGCTGGAAAATTCACTGCCTGCTGATCTGAAAGGTATCGGAAAGCAGGAAAAATACTTGCTGCAGAGAAAGGAGAAAAAAACCTGTTTCAGGTTATAGCCAATTAAGCCGTATTTTGAAAGCCTACTCCAAGCCCAGCCAGTTTCTAAATATTTAGCACAATACTAGTTTGTGGAAAGTGGGAAGAACTGAGAAAAGAAAAGAAAAAAAGAAAAAAAAAAAAAAAGAGAGAGATTCCCAAACTGAAAACAAAATACTGGAGAATATTCTGTGTGGTCAGCCTCCTGATATGGCTGTTGGCAGGTGGGTTTGGACCTATTACTGAAGCAGAGGGCAAAAGCACCTTTTTTGCTCATGAAAAGAAACTGCCAAAAGCAGAGGGAACAGCCTGCCTTCTTGTCAGAGACTGCTGATGAAGGAACCTAGGAAACAAACACATGTAAGCACATTCTGACATCGCACAGAGATCTGAAGATTAGTATACCCTGGAGATGCTCCACTAGGACATTCAGGTTTTCCTTTATTCACAGATTCAGAAATGAAAAAAATGATTGTTGCAATCAAGCCACACAGATGGTATTAAGGCAACCAGTAGCCTGAGTTTAGGCTAAAATGTGCTATTATGTAGCCAGGGTGAGGAGTAAGAGGCAGAGACTTAGATGAAGCAGCATACAAAAGGAGCACACTTACTAGAATCATCAGGGATTTACTCTTTGAAGGAGAGGAAATGAAGTTTCAGTAACTCAAACTTATCTCCAGAAAAGAGCCCCTACTGGTAAAACAGACTGTTCCACCCAGAAGATGTGAAACTACAGTACTGCAAAATTACATCTTCACTCTACAACTGAGTAAGCTGAGACCTTAAAAGCCACATACACCAACATGTGCCTACACACATGAACACTTTGGCTTGTATTGCTTTACAGACCAAACTATCAATAAATGCCTGATCAAGTTCCATGTTACAGTGAAATTGCCACAAGCACAAAAAGCAGAGACCTAAAAAAATAAAATAAAATTTTAAAAGTGAAGCACCAGAAACACAAATATGAAAGGGACAGGAGAACAAAAAATTCATTAGAATACAGAGATAGATGATTAGTTCGGGGAGAAGACAACAAAACCCTGTATCCTCTAAAATGAGGACTACTTACAAAAAGTTCAGCTTCATTTGCAAGAAGCAACTTTGTTTTGTATGCATAGAGGGCCTCCCTGCCAGGCAACGTCTTACTACAACAATAAAAGACTTCCACTATAACTGTATGTCACATGAACTTAGCAAAGACAATAAAAACTAGATTGTGTTGAAAAACGTTAACAGTTCCACTGCATATTATTACCCCTACATTTTATATTATTTAAGCAGTGATGACCATCACAAACATGGGATGCTCTCGGTGTTCCAGGGAAGGCTATCACTGTAAGGCACGACTACCGAACGTGACCAAAACAGTGATTTAAAACAGAGAGGTACTTATTATTGTTAAGGTACTGCAGCTCAAACTTCTTGTGTGTATGTGTGACGGCAAAATTTTCACAGACCTTCTGCTAAGACTTCCACATTTGTTCATGATTTTAATTTCCATTAAAACCAATACTCAGGAATAGGATGTTGATACAAAAAAGACTGAAATACAGCTAAGAGTAGTAAACTACAAAAAAATTCATTACCATAGTTGCTGCCGTGAAAACATCCCTACCATTCAGCATTCCAAATACATCTTCTACCTGGTTCTAATCTGGACCACCATATGTATTTCAAACGGCACAGAAGAAAGACTTGCATGTTAGACCTGGCGTAAAACACTCACGGCATACTTTGGTCAGCATGCTTTCAATTTACGTTTCGTTAAACGTTAAAATTCCCGTTTAATGCTTATTCTAAACAGGGCTTTGAACAGCACTCTCTGAGGAGCTCTAAAAACTCTGCCCTGTATCACGGTCTGTAAAAATTGTACCTGCTGGCTTTTCAGACGTGCTTGGCCTAACTTCATTGTTTGTTAAACACGTTGATGGTATTGCTCTCACTCAACCTGAAGCACCTAAACTTACAGTAAGACAGATGCAAAAATTTACCTCATTTTCTACGGACACTCTTAGAGGGAGGGGGTGACCAGAAGACACTTGAGCTGAGACATCAGAATGAACGGAGAATGTTCTGGGTGCTCACGAAAAGCTATTCCATTAATACATAATAAATTAAACACAGAACCCTCAATGTGCCCTCTTTGTTTCTGGGTTATTATAACAAAACAGCTAAATCACAGCTAGAAGCAGAATGAAAGGAAACCTTAGTTACCCACACACAATGAGGAAACTGTCTGTGTTCTTAATGACCTGAAGATGCAAGCACACTTGCCCGTGGGATAGAACAGATGCGAGAGCCCAACACCTCTGGGATGACAGAGGGAGTACGCTCCAAACAATCAACCTTGGAGAGTGACAAGGGATAAGGTCAAGTTTCACCCTCTTGCAAGATAATTAAAGGCACGTTCTGGCTCTGCCACATACTGCACTCAGAACACAGGAGGACTTCTAAACTATCCAGTGTATTTACACGTGTACACAGTATAGTGGAAAGTCCTATTGAAAATCCTTAAAGGTTACACTTCAAAAAGTAAGCGTGAGTCCTACTTAGAATGGACTTGTCTCTTACTCACTACATGTCAGAATCAGCTGCATGATGATCATAAAACACCACCATACAGAAAATACATTATAAAAAGATTCAGACTTAATCACATCATGGGCAAACAGATTCTCCCTTCTAGGAGAACATAATCAGGAAAAGAAATAAGGGGTTCAACCAAGAGAGAAATAAAAGCAGTGAAGAATTAAGTGGAGTAGTAATAAGCATGACAGTTTCCCTCTGTGAGATATCTTTAGAAAAGCTGCCAGAAGGTAGTTCTTCTACA